GACACGCCCCATTCAATTGCATCTCCCAAGTTTAGTTGACTTTGAGCTCAGAATTTTGACTCCAAAGTCATTTAGACTTGGGGGATGCAATTAAAGGGTGCGAGCGGTGGGTTCGGGATGGGGTGGAGAGTTTAGGAACTGTTGATTTTACAAACGCAGCACCGTACGGCCTCGGGTCATCCATGACATTGCTTTTAGCAAGCAATGTCATGGGAACCGCCCCCGGAAATTAAACTGGATCAATAATGCTTGGTTGCTCTAGCTAGCTATTTAATGAGACCAATTAGTACAAAATAGAAAGAATATTAAGTAAACTCTATAGTACTCTTGCCCCTAACTAATTATACATTATGTAAGTGCAATTGGTATGTCTAGCTCTTTTTAGAACTATTTCTTGACATGATTTGATACCATAAGTGTTACTCCTTATTTTATTATGAAATATTCAATGTCCTATTTTGATATGCTCCGTATAGTACATATTTTAATCCCAGCTAGAGTCCAATTTGTGTTTGTTAATACTCTCTCCGTCTCATATACTCTTTCTCATATCTTTTTTTCTTTGTCTCACAAAGTTATTATCTTTTCTATTAAAAAATAACTTTTACACATACTAATTATTATCCTACATATCGCATCATCTAATCTACATATAAAAAATAACTTTTCGATCACATTTTTTCTTAATTAGCCATCTCAAAAGGAACTTGATTGTTCCACATTTTTCCCTTAAGAAAGGTAGTGTTCTCCCCGTTTAATATCTTTGACCCTAAAATGTCAAAATGAGAGAATGATGAGTACACCTTGAAAGTAAGAGTTTGGGATGGTATATGGGTATGTAAAAGAAGAAATGGACCTTGGAGATGGACAAAGCGGATTGAACAACATAGTTGCCAAAAGGGTCTTGGAGAACCATCAAGAAATGTGGGCTGTAAATGATCTCTTGGATGATCCGGTTGGCCTGCCTCTCTTCCGACTCCTTCAAACACTTCTCCACCACATTGCTCCCATATTTGTCCATCGACAGCCCCACAAAGCTCCCTGCCAGCTGGTTCACTATCTCCCCCGTACACTGTGGGTTCTTTAGCCCCACGATGTTCTGCACTACATAGTTCCTGCAGTTACCATGCGCGCGCACACACACACACACATATATTCAATATGTATAATGTTTTCAATTTACGAGATCGAACAATTTAATACGAAGTGCGTAATTGCATACCCGTAAGGATGTTCCGAGAGAACCAAGGAATTGACGATGATCTCAGCCACGAGACGTTCCCGAGACTGTACGTCAGCATTTTCGACACAGTGCTGGAGAACGCAACACCCACTTTTGTCCGTTGCTATGCTTAGACAGTTATTTGCTACAACATTCAAAATTTGCTGCATCCAAAACAGTACAAACAAATACGGAGCACGTGTGAGGCCGCGGCCTTTTTTTCCTGACATTTAACCACTAGTGTCATAATATGACACCGATCGATTGTCCGTTCTGAAAGAAACTCTACCCCGAACAAACTCTTGCCCAATTCCCCTTTCTGTGGATTGTCACCCAAAGAAAGGAAGGGGCTGGGGGGAATTTATTTTGAAATCAAACGGAACACCGTAAGATCTTCAAATTGATTAGATGTAATGTTATGCTAAAGTTGGTTGGGTGTCAAATTAAAAGAACCCCACTAAATATATACCCCGTGTATCATTCACCTGCATCTCGCATGAAATTACAACAGTAAAATACACTCCTTACGTTCTCAAAAACACTTCCTCTTTCATTTTTTTCACTTCCAACAAAACACTTCCACTTTCTATTAAAAAACCACTTTTACCCTTATTTTTTCATACCCTACATATCACATCATACTTTATCTCTAATAATCTATCCATCACATCTTACTTTTACCTATCACATCAAGGGCAAAAATTGGAAGTCAACTACAATTTAATACTTCCTTATTTTTATACAAAGTCAAAAGAGGAACACTTTTTCCAAACGGAAGGAGTACAAGTATTTCCATTTTAGGACAAACATCATTATATTTTGTAGGTGCAGAACTATGTTTTCTTAAAAAGTACCAAAACACCCCACAATTAAAATCACATAAAATCATGCACCAATCACTAAAACAGGTGGAAAGAATTATATAGTTCAGGAATAAAAAAACTACACAAAAAAGAGCTCAATTATATTATTAACTAGAATAGATATATAGTAATAATGCCATGTATGTATGTGTGTGTGTGTGTGTGTATGTTATACGGAGTAATACCTTTTTCTCCTCGTTCGAGAAGAACTTGATACAATGCTGAATGACATGATGGCCATTGACACTTTTGGTCAATGTGACTGTGACATGCCTTAATGCCCCCACTACCAAACCCCTTTGATCCGCCGTTGTTAGATGCCGCAGCATCGTCTGCATCGCTCTTGTCCTTTTATATTTATACACACACACACACACAAATTAATGATAACTATATATATATAATTATTATTATATATAGTTAATTATATGAAGTAGGAAAATAAATAAATGTATGCATGCATACCCATGCATGTCAAGGCAAATGGTCAACAATCGGCAGCCGGGTGCTCCTATTATTACTACTACTACTACTACTACTATTCGTGTTTGGATTGCCTGCCAATCCAAACCCCTTTCTCATATTCCCGCACGGGAATGTGCGGAAGCGGTCATTACCACCAGAGGATAATAAGCTCATGCGGTTAAACATTGTTTCCAAATCGTCGTTATAGACGGATCGGGGAGTGGGATTGAGACTGAATCCGGGATCACGGGCGGGATAAGGATTTACCTGGAACAAAGCATCGTTGCTGACCTTGAGACTATTAGGGTTTATACGGAACTTGTCACCCCACTCCTCCAAATACGAGGGAGTAGAAAACACGGGTTTGTTGTCATAGGGCAGGATGAACTGGTTGTTGTTAAGATGGGTAAAAGAAGAGGGGGGCGGCCGGATGTAGTTTCCGGCGGCGGCCGGAAAACCCTTAGAGAAGAGGATATTATTGTGATCTGAAGAGAGGAAGCCGCCGGAATCTCTAAACCTCCACCGCTCGAGATCGTTGTTGTGGTGGTGCTGCCTCTCACCCTCCATTATTGATGAGCTGTATGGTGTGAGGGGATCGGAGGAGGAGAGTGGTGATGTTTATATGGTATAAACGAGGGTTTTTTTGGTTTTCGTTTTTTGGGGGAAAGAAAATAAACAAACCTAAGGAATATCAAGAAGAATTTTTAGATTGGTTGGGGGAAAAGAAACATTAAAAATATACAGCCATAAATAAAAGTGGACGACGAGACGTAGTTAGTAGTAGTGTTTGAGTCTGTCTGTCTAACATGCGTGCAGTTCCCTTCCCTTCCCTTGGGGAGTGATTTTTGTGTGTTGTGTTTAGGTTTTTATTAGGCCAGCACCTCACGTTTGGCACTTTTATGTGGGTTCCTTCTTTCTAGAACTTCGTTCCTACTTTGGCAGACGGCCCACAGTCCAAACCAACTGTCATTCTATCGTTAATTAATTTATACTAGTGCGGACTACCGACTATTACTCCCTCCGTCCCTAAATATTTACAACATTTGCTTTTTCAGCAGTGTCGGAAACTTTTGTTTATTTCGATGTTTTTATTGATTATTTGATAAAATAAAATATTCTTGACACCTCTTATTTCGAAAAACTTTTCATGTACTTTTTTTATATGTAAATTTTATTTTTAATTTCTTTACAAATGTGGCAAATAATTTAGGACGGAGGGAGTATTATATTATATGGTCTCTCCGTCCCAAATTGTTTAATTAGTATACTTTGTACAACATGTAAAATATTACTCTCTTCATCCCATATAAAACTTCCCATTTGGAATAGTCATCCAAAATAAAGAAGGGATATTTTGGCTTTGACTTGCCCAAAATACCCCCCACACGCCCTTCGAGTTTGGAATGAAGCCCCATCTCATGTGGCAAAATCCCACTCAGATTATTCGTGAAAACTTTGAATTGTTTCAGAGATGGGATTCGGCCTATTCCGGGTGGAATTTCACCCGATAACCGGTTCCAAAATAGGACTAAAACCTCCAGTCTCTGCAACTCTTCGAACCCGTCCGGGATCTCGCCGGTCAACTTGTTGCTGGACAAATCCACCTCGACCAGTGTCGAATTCTCGGTGAAATCGGATGGAATTGAACCGGAAAGCTGGTTATTATACAGATATAGGTTCTTGAGTTTTGGATGCAGAAACAATCCTCGTGGGATTTTACCTTCTAAATGGTTCATGGCCAAATCCAATTGCTCCATGCTCGACAAATTCTCGAAGCTTTTGGGAATTTCTCCGATCAAATTCGCCGATGCCAACTGATGGTGTAAATTACCACGCAAATACTAAGTATGAGTAATCGGAAGGGTTGTAGGTGGAAACACCTGTAACCCGATTTGTTATTAATGATAATAGGAGTTATTACAAATACAAGCCGTGCAGGTTAATTAAAGCATGCCTCACAAATGAAGCTTTTAGGGCTATTTATAATAATCCTAAGCACGTCAAGCACGTCTCTGATTATCCAACCGGTCAGGCAGCTGACCAGCCCACCAGGTGCACTTTGAAAGTAGATCTTCGGGTATTGGCGTCTGGTCTCCCCATCCAACCGGTCAAATAACCCGGGCTGAGAAAGACGCGTGATGTTCGGTGAACCAACCGGGTGGTATCCTTGGGTTATTACCCATCAAGGAATCCTCCGATTCCCGGTCCTGTGGGGACCATCAGGGGCGGGAAGCACATGCGATCATTTCCTGGAATTTGAACTGCCCAGTCGCTTTTTGGCGGGAAAATCGTCTCGGAAAACCAGCGCCAACCCAAAATATTTGAAATTTGAAATTTGAATTTCAAATTTCAAAAAACCGGGTGTCCAAAGCGGGAGAATCTTCTCGAAGTCGGGTACGGAGCCGCCGATTTATTGTGCCGTTTCGTCTCCCCGAGAAGTTATGATGGCAAATCATTTCAGCTGCCACGTGTCATTCTTTCGTTTGTCCGTTTGGGCGGCCTCTCTCCTATATAAAGCGATGTCCTCCCTAGGATTTCTTCACTTGCAAATCTTCGATTTAAAAAACCGCCCGGATGCTTCTTCCTCGAGTCATGTCTGACCACGAAGACAGCCAGAACCCTTCCGCCCATTCTTACGGTTCTGGTGACCGGGCTCAGACCTCCGGTTCCTCCTCTTCTTCATCCTCTGATTCTGAGCGCCCGGCTACTTCTCCACAGAAGAAGCCGGTTGATGCTTCCACTTGTGGTCCTTCTTCTTCCGTGGCGCAAGTGATCTCGGTTGCCCAACCTGGGGATGAGGGCTTCGTTCTGCTGGACGACCGGTTGCTTCAAACGCAATCGTCGGTCATGCAGAAGGCCCAGGTCCACGAGGTGCGCAACCTGATGCCGGACGGGTACCAATTAACTTACCGGGCAACGTGTAAGAGCATTATTCCTCTCCACGCCGGTACGTCGATTGGTATCCATTACCACTCAATCAAGGACCTGGGCGAATTCTCCATTCACCCATTCAAAGTCTTTTTCCTTGAAACATACGGTATCATGCCCGGGCAGCTGGCCCCTAATGGTCACCGTTTGTTGGGCAGCTTCATCAATGTCTGCCGGTTCCTTCGTATTGCTTTTTCCCTTCGTCTCTTTGACCACATGTTCGATGTCCGGCCCGGGTCCAAGGAGACCCTTGGATTCGTGGTGGTGTCTTCTCACCAAGGTCGGGCATTTCTCTGTGGCCTTCCTCCCTCCAACAAGAGGTGGAAGGACAAATACGTCTGCATCAAATTCCCCCCGGCTGCCTTTCCTTTTGCCCAAAATGTCTGGGGGGAAAGAATGAAGCGCCAGGTCAAACCAACAGAGGCCGATGACCTGGTTGTCTGGGAAACCACTCTCCGGGCCGGGGATGCCTCCACTCGCGGTCTTTACCATGTCGGGAAGTGGAGCGTCTACCCCGGCCGGGAGACTGACCCTGAGCCGGAGATTGTCGTGACTGGGGTGATCCCCGAAGCCATCCCCATCAGCCGGGCGAGGGGATCCAAAGCCCTGGCCGCAGCCACTGCCGGTCCTTCACGCCCGGCGAAGAAGAAGAAGGAGAAAGGTCAATCAACTACCCTTATTTTCCTTCCATTTTTTCTTTTTATATATCGCTGTTCTTCTAACCGATTTCGTTTCTTGCAGTGGTGAAGTTCCAGTCGAAATTTGCCACCCCAAAAATCGTCGTTGAGGAGCCTTCCACCGCCCAGCTTCTCAGCCAACCTCCGGTCCAACCAGTCTCTTTGGACGAGTAGCCGGCACAGTCTCAACAGGGTACCAGCCAGCCCATCCACTCCGGGGAACTCTACATCAATGTAGATACCCTGGAGTTCGACCAGCTGATGGAGGCTGGTCAAGCAAACCAGCTGGCCGAGGGAGGCCACGAAGAAGAGGAGGCTGCTGAAGAGTCCCTTAAGAGGAAGAGGCGGAAGACTGAAGTAGTCGACCAGCCGGCTCATCAAGCGGCCCAGTCCTCCGATGCCGGCAAAAGGCAAAGCCAGCCCCGGTCTATGGCTCTAATGTCTAGATCGGACGAAGAGCTCCTCCAAGCCTTTCGCGCCGACCTGACTGAGGTAATCCCCCTTTCTCCCTTCTTACCGCCCTCTTATTGCTTCTGATACCCTCCTGAAAAAATTTTCATGTCTTTAAAGCAGGTCGGTCGGATTGGTGAGGAGTACTTCACCCGGCTGGTGAAGTCAAGGGACGAGGAAAAGGCCCAGATGGAGGCCATGATGGTCGAATGCCGGAAGGAGGCTAAGGCCGCTTTTGAGAAGGCGGCGAAGGCGGAGGAGAAGCTGATGGACCATTGTGCGGTCTACCGTCAGCTGTATGCGAAGCATGACGGTCTCCTCAAGGCCGCGAAGGAGGCCGATGAGCAAGCTCAGGCAAAGATCCAACAGCTTGAGGCCGAGAACGCCCGGTCGGCTGAGGAAATTGCCCGGCTCGGAGACGAGCTGGAGAAAGAGCGCTCGGAAAGGGCTCCTCTTGCTGCTGCCTGGGCTGTCCAAGCGCCCGAGGAGTTTACTGCCCAAGCACTTCCTGAACGGGGGACTGCCATCCGCTTCTTCCAAGGTTTATACAAGCACGAAGTCTCGGCCGGGATCATCGACGAGATCGGAACCTACGGTTTCGAAAGCGGTCAGTATGATGAACGGCGGGCTCTATATGGTATCCTTGAGCAGCGGATTCAAGGTTTTCAGCCCAAGGCTCTTTCTCTGCCTGAGCTGCATGATGAGGCACCGGTCGCGCCTTTCCCGGGCATCTGATTTCCCAGCCTTTTTTACTTTATCTTTTTTTTTGTTTACTTCCCGTGTGTAATGATCTGCCTTTGGGCACTTTTGTAAGACACTTAAATATTATTGCAAGTGTTTTTCTCCTATATTCTCTTCAACTTAAGATTTTTAACCGTTTGGATTAGTAAATACAGCCCGGCCGCATTTATCCGGTTTAAAATACAATTTTACCCAAGGCTTTTCGAAAGGCTGGGTGGTCGACCGGGAAGACTTTGAGTTTCAATAATTTTCTTCCGGACGGTTAATAACCCGCAATGGCGTATCGAGTATTTGCCCAGGCGCCTTTTCACAATCACTTAAAGCCCTTGTGAAAAGGTAAACCTCGACTTGCCCTTTCAGAACGTCTGACTTAAACTGGACGGGATGCTCTCCCTTTAGTCAAGCCAAATCGTTTTAACTCTCGTGTTAGTACGGATGAGGTGTAGGATCGGTCAGACCGGTCTCTCTCTCTTTTTTTTTGAGATGCCAATTCGATTGGACATCTAACCGGGTAGATCGGTATGTCGACCAATTACCGGTTGATGTACGAGGACAATCTTTCTGAAAAGAACAAAGTTTTATTAACACCTAGGGAACTCATTACACTTTATCTAAAGAATTTATGTAAGTGATGAGAGTTCCAATGTCGGTCAACCCGGCCACCTTCCATAGTCTCCAGTTGGTAAGTGCCCGGCCGGATGATCGCCTTTATGCGATAGGGTCCTTCCCAATTTCGCACCAACTTGCCTCTCTCGTTAGGTTTACTAGCATCCCGTCTGCGCAAGACCTCATCATGCACTTGGAAGTATCGTGGGCCCACCCGGTTGTCGTGATATCTCTTTACCGACTGCTGGTAACCGGCCATCTTGACAGCTGCTAGGGTCCTTCGTTCTTCCACCAAATTTAACTCAACTAGGTGGTCGACCTCGTTCTGACCGGGCTGGTACACGGTTTCTCTAAATGTTGGAATTTCTGCTTCAACTGGCAACCGGGCTTCACATCCGTAAGTGAGCACAAATGGAGTTTCTCTGGTTGCCCTTCTTGAAGTCACTCTATGCGCCCAGACCGTGTGAGGCAAAGCTTCCAACCATTTATGGCCTTCTTCACCCAACCTCTTCTTTAGGCCGTCCACTATCGTCCGGTTAGCATTTTCAACTTGGCCATTTCCCTGTGGATAAGCTACTCAGGCCTTGCTGTGCTTGATTCCAAAACTAGCCAAGTACTCAGTGAACCGGGGGTTACGAAACTGCGGACCATTGTCGGTAACAATCATCTTCGGGGCACCAAACCGGGTGATAATGTTTTTCCAAACAAATTTCTCACACTGCCGCACGGTTATGGTAGCCATCGCCTCGGCCTCGACCCATTTAGTGAAGTAATCAATAGCCACCATCCCGAACTTCTTCCCGCCTTGGGCGACCGGGAAGGCTCCAATAATGTCCCACGGTCGGCGCCAATTTGATGGTGTAAATTACCACGCAAATACTAAGTATGAGTAATCGGAAGGGTTGTAGGTGGAAACACCTGTAACCCGATTTGTTATTAATGATAATAGGAGTTATTACAAATACAAGCCGTGCAGGTTAATTAAAGCATGCCTCACAAATGAAGCTTTTAGGGTATTTATAATAATCCTAAGCACGTCAAGCACGTCTCTGATTATGCAACCGGTCAGGCGGTTGACCGGCCCACCAGGTGCACTTTGAAAGTAGATCTTCGGGTATTGGCGTCTGGTCTCCCCATCCAACCAGTCAAATAACCCGGGCTGAGAAAGACGCGTGCTGTTCGGTGAACCAACCGTGTGGTATCCTTGGGTTATTACCCATCACCAACCAACTGAAATTGAGCTTCTTCAGGTTACCGAGCTCCTCCTGGATCCAGGACGGGGAGAAGTCGGAAAGATCGAGCATGGTGAGGTTCCTAAGATTGCATATTTCACTCGGAATTTCGGAGGTTATGTTGTAGTTGTAGAGAGATATTCCAGTGACCGATCCGTCGCCGGAGCAGGTTATCTCCGGCCAGCTGCATGGAGAAGAGGCGGAGGAGGTATTATCGCTCCACCCTCCAAGTGACGGCGGAGGAGAGAAAAAGATTAAAACGGGTGGGGGGTGGGTTAGGTTAGATTTGGTTAGGGTTTGGGATGGAGGGGTATAATGGACTTTTAATGACAAATGGGAAGTTTTTTTTGGGACGAAAAAAACGAAAGGGGAACTTTTTTGCGGGACGGAGGGAGTATTTCTTTTAAAAGTAATTTATTTACAAATTGGTAGAGAAAATAAAATGTTAAATTACATCGTTTAAAAATACATACATCAAAATTTTTATAAAACAAGATACGACATAGTTATTTTATTTTATCAAAACAAACAAAAGTTATCAATAAGCCGAAATAACAATCGTGGCATTGTTTTTGGACCGCATGGAGTAAGAGGGCATGGTCGAATGGAGAAATTATTAACTTCTAGGGCCTGTTTGTTGAACATTGGAGATATGATATGATACAAATTTTAAAATCTAAAAAATGATGTGAGTTTCAAAATGGGAAAAAAAGGAAAAAGATTAAAGTAGGAGTAAAACATTGAAAATATACCAATATAGAAATACTATGTTTTTATTCACGAAATAAGAGTTAAAGTACATTTATAATGCCAACAATCATGACCAAATACACTACCAAAAAGTATAGTGAAATGTAAATGTACAGTGTCACATTACTACAATGCGAATTTCTATTTATATAAAAACATGAAGCTCTTATTTTTTGGTATTTTCTCTATGTTTTACTCTTATTCAGGGTGATTTCTTAAAAGACTGAAGTAAGAGTAAAACAGTAAAAATATACCAAAATAGGAGTTCACTGTTTTTATTTCTAAAATAGGAGTTAAAATATATTTACAGTGTCAATCATGACCATATACATTACCAAAAGGTATTATGGAGTATGAAACTCCTGTTTTTCTACATTTTCTATGTTTTAATTTTATCTAGAGTGATTCTGAAATAAAGATGTTTGGAGAGATGTAAAATCATAATTTAATTAGTGATTGACAGAATGACCGGTAACGGGGTGGTTGGCTGTCGTATTGGTAGCGGGGATAATCGACAATTGAGAGAGATATCAAATTCCCGCATTAATATCTCTCATATTCTGAAGATATTGAAAGACTTAATTTGGAAATTTCATGAAATTTGGAAATATCAAATTTAAATTATTTTTATATCTCAACGTCCTTTATCCTTTATATATAAATTTAAGACTTCAAACTCTAAAGAACTAACATGTGGCATTGTTAGGAGCTGACATGTGATATTACTAGGAGCTAACATGTGTCATTGCTTATGTAGATTTTCTATGCCACCTAATTTTCTCTTCATTTATAACAAAATTTTAGAATAATAAATAAAATACTCTCTTCACCTATAAATAAATTTTATAGTTGTTTATTACTCCTTCCGTTCCACAAAACTCTTCCGGTTTTGACTTTGGGGAAAAATAAAGAAAGTGTAATTTTGGTTGACTTTCCAATTTTGCCCCTGATGTGATGGGAAAAAGTAAGATGTGATAGTTTGGTTATTAGTTAAAAAAGTATGATGTGATAGGTAGGGTATGAAAAAGTAGGGGTAAAAGTGGTTTTTTAATAAAAAGTGGAAGTGTTTTTTGGAAAGCAAAAAAAAACGAAAGAGGAAGAGTTTTGCGGAACGGATGAAGTATATGTTTACCTAAAATTAATTTGATTATATTTATTTAAATATTGACACCTAATAAATAAAATGTTTTCACCTATAAATAAATTTTATATTTATTTTGAGACCTAATTATCTAATATGTCACTTAATTTATTATATGGAAAATGTGAAATCGATATTTTGGTATGAAATTCTTGTATAAATTTAAGTATGGAAAAGAAACATTCGTTTTAATTAATGAAAATATCCTTTCACAATTCAATATTTTTTACTTTCTTCTTTCATAACAAAACTTTTAACCAACAAATAAGATATTTTTAACCTCTATATCAATGTGATACAAGTATTTAATTTGTTTATGATGTGGTAAAATGAAGTTAGTTTTGATTAGACTTATTTCAATATTAATGTAAAATAAAAAACAAATACTATACTTTAAAACTACATTAAAAGATATATAAAACAAGAGATGACTAAACTATAATTATATTAAAATAGAAAAAATATTAATACTATACGTAATTTCATAGTTTGAATATATTGGTTTATGATTTCACTTTATTACTATGAAATTTATGGTTTATAGTTCTTAGATTATTTATGATTTAAGTTGAAAAATATAATATTTTTAATTAAATTATAGTTAACGATTGAAAAAATGTGTAAACAATATATAATATGTTTACAGTAACACTTTTTATGATTTCAACATTATTTAGAAACTTAACTATGGAATTGAGATCATCGATCTTATTAGAATACACTTTGAGAGATATTATGTGATTCTCTAATCAAAATGCTAGAAATGAAAGTTTCGGAGGAAAAACTGTTGTGCTTGGGGGTACCGAGAGCTTCAAGAGAGAAAACTATAGAAGCTACAATCAATTTATCAAGTTTGTGTCATATTTTAAAATCTTCACATTTACTAGAAATATGATATCACATTTATATGCATCCACTTTCGCAGACAGAGATATACAAATTTTGATTCTTTATGCCAAGCGAAATGAGAAGTAGACATAAATGATTATTGGATAATAACTAAGTTTTTGAATGATATGGATATCAAATGTTCTGGAATTCCGACCCACAAAATAGTTTTTAAGAAAGGAGTACAAATCATGTTATTGATAAATATTGATAAAGAATCCAAGTTAAGTAATGGTACATGATTAATCATTGACGAGTTGTGAAGAAACGTTATCGTTGCAATTGTCGTATCAGGAAACAACGTTGGGGAGAAAGTTTACATGCTGCAAATAAATTTGGTACCGCCTAATCATGGATTACCATTTAAGTTTTAAAGAAGAGAATTTCTAATATCTTTATGTTTTTCCGTGACTATCAATAAGGGTCAAGATCAAACATTGTCATTTCTGATTATTTTTTATAAGTCAGTATTCACTCGCGCTCAACTTTATGTTACAGTTTCACGAGTGAAAGCAAAGATAGAATGAAAATGTTAGTTTTAGATGACGGTGACCCTTAAATTTTCACCAAAAATACGATTGCCCAAATGTTTTCCAAAAGATTTGAATTGAAATTATACTTACATGTTCTTTTAGATTTATATATAGATGAATTTCGTTCACAAATTTTTATGGTAAATCAATCATTAAATTATTTTGTTTGATTGTTTAAACATTAGCTAAGAAGAAAAAAATTATTCCAAAAAAAGAAAATTTGATATTAAATTATTTTGTTTGATTGTTTAAACATTAGCTAAGAAGAAAAAAATTATTCCAAAAAAAGAAAATTTGATATTTAGAGATATAGAAACTCATATTAGTTGAAAGGGGCCCTTCGTTCCAATCGGATATTGAGAGTGTACTTCCGTTTCATCACTTCGTAAAAAAATTGGTAATCTGAAAAAAGATGGAGTGGGAGGGCAACGAGAAAGAAGTGAAGGCGGCCGGAGCGGAGCTACTCAGCGACGGGCGGCAAGGGCTTCGAATTCACGGTTGGGAAATCGAGTCTCGCAAGTGCTCTATCCTCAATTCCGCCCAACGTCAACAGTATTCCCCCCCCCTCTCTCTCTGGTTTTGCGTTTCTAATTCACTTTTTGTTGAAGTAAATCTCTTGCTGCTATGATTTCGTTAAAAAGGAAATCAATTTTGAGAAAAAAATGGAGTACTTGTTAGCAGATAGTCCATTTCAATTTGTAACCAAATCAACTTGGCTAATTAGCAATCGGAGTAACTGGAAAACAGGCCCCTTTCTAATAGACTTTGATTGTAATGGATGAAACATCTGTTGAAAAAATTGTCATAATGCAGAAAGGGTATAGTTCTATAGTTGCTTTCTCACATACATCCATATGAATTGCCTGTGCAACCAAAGTGGGAGCTCATTTCTCATTTACATAATGGTTTTGGGATCAAACTAATCGCAATGTGAAATTTGTATTGCAGATGGGAAGAACGACTTTCGACATCCCACTTGCCAGAGATGATATTTGGGGAGAATTCTCTGACCCTTAAGCATGTGACCAGTGGTGTTAAAATTCACTTCAATGCATTTGATGCGCTGGTTGGATGGAAGCAGGAAGGATTGCCGCCCGTTGAAGTTCCAGCAGCTGCAATATGGAAATGCAGAAAGTACGGTTTCCCCTTTACCTACTCTCTCATTCACGCTTAAAAAGAAATTCTACTATTTACAGTTTGACTGGCCTAGAATGTTCACTATAGAGTATTTAGAAACATATATGCAGTATATGTTTGAATTCTCAAATATGATAATGTATCAAGTGCAATCCTTTGTGTGTTGCTATCCAAAAAAATTATATCAATACTGCAATTTCACAATTAAGTGCCGGATATGATAATAACAGCTCCTTAGGGGTCATTTATGTTTGTGAGAGCTAGGGAGATTGAGTCCACCCCCACCCCATTGTCCCATTTAGTCCTTGGTTTGGATGTCGTGGTCTTCTGCTCGAACTTTCTTCTCTTTGGAGATGCAATCCTAGGAGTAGCAGTCCAGCACTCCAATCCAATTCTACCTCTTCCCATGGAGGGCTGGCTTTAGCGAACGTAGAAGGTATAACCATCTTAGACTTCTCCTCGTCCTTCCAGCTTCTTAAATCTTATTGCAAACACTTGTTTTCAAAAGCTAGACGAGCATCTTATATCTTATAAGAGTGGGAGGACATGCTCTCAAATTGATTACTTTCTGCTAAGTAAATGAGATAAAAAAATTTGTACTAATTGCAAAAATATTCCTAGACCACCGAACACAGAGTCCTTGTTATGGATTTTCATATCCAACAAAAGGTAAAGAGAAATCGCCAAGAGAGGAACCTAAGGACTAATGGTGGCAGTTTAAAAGTGATAAACAAAAGAATTTCCAACAGCATTTAGTAGAAAAAGCAAAACGGGATGGACATGGAAGTTCGGAAGAGTTATGGTGTAATATGGCAGATACTATTGGAAAGGTGGCAGAAGAAACCCTTGGAGAAACTAGAGGAACTAACGGAAGAGTCAAAGAACCATGCTGGTGGGACACTGGTGTGCAAGAGAAGGTAAAGGTAAAACAAGAGCGTTTCAAGGAGTGATCTTAATGGCTTAATGTGGAAAGTGGGGAAAGGTATAAGATGGCTAAGACGGACATAAAAGTGGCTGTAAGTGAAGCAAGAATGAGAGGATATGAAGGGTTTTACTTGTCGTTGGGTTTGGAAGAAGGGTTAAGATGTATTTACTAGATTGCAAAGGGTCAAGAAAGAAAGATGCAAGATTTGGACCAATTTAAGTGCATTAAAGATAAGAATGGTGAAGTTTTAGTCTCTGATGAAAGCATAAATAGAAGGTGGAAGAGCTACTTCAATGACTTTTTAATGAGGGACATGCGAATCTCTCATGGTTTGATAGGCTACACACGAGGGCGGAGGAGCAAAACTTCAAATATTATCGGAGAATTCAAGAAATTGAAGTTAAGGAGGCCCTAAAATTGATGAAGAATAGCAGCCAAACAACATTTCAATTGAAGTTTGGAAATGTTTAGGAGAAAAAGGCATTTGGTGGCTAACTAAGCTTTTTAACAAAATTTTAGGATCTAGCAAGATGCCCAACGAATGGAGGAAGAGCATCTTGGTTTCTATTTAAAGAATAAGGGGGATATTCAGAGTTGTGGAAACTATTAGGGGATTGAGCTCACGAGTCATGCGGTGAAGTTGTGGGAAATAGTGGTTGAACAGAAAATTCGGTGTCAGAGAACTAGTTTGGTTTTATGTCTGAAAGATCAACCACAAAGGCAATATGCTTTGAGAGGAGAATGGTGGAGAGGTACCAAGGTGAGAAGAAAGATTTACACATGACTTTTATGGATTTGGAAAAAGCATATGACAGGGTACCAAGAGAAGCATAATGGAAGGTGTTAGAGAAAAAAGGAGTAAAAATTGCATATTATCATGCGACTAAAGACATGTGCGATGGTGCTACAACAAGCGTGAGAAGCCAAAGTGGGGTAAAAGAAGAATTTACCCATCAGTGTAGAATTACACTAAGGGTCATCACTAAGCTCATAATTTTGTTACGTTAGTATTGGAAGTTTTTACCGAGCATATCTAAGAACATGTATCATAGTACATGTTTTTTGTCGATGGCATCATCGTTATGGGCGAATCATGAGAGGATTTGAATGGGAAGTTGGATTCGTGGAGATAGACTTTGGAGTTGCATGGCTCGCGTAAAAGTTTCACTAAAGCAGAGTATATGGAGTGCAAGGTTAGCAATAGAACAAAATACTAGCATTGAGGTGAATGTGGGAGAAAATAGTATAAGAGGTTTAAGTATCTTGGGTGTATCATTTAAGATAATGGAGAAATAGTGGATGATGTTAACCACAAGATTCAAGCTGGTTGGACAAAATGGTGGAGTGGTGCTTCGGGCTTTATATATGACAAAAAAATACCTTTAAAACTAAACAGAAAGTTTTACCGTATTTTGACCAACTATGTTGTATGGAACAGAGTATTGGACAACAAAGGGTGTACATTAACACAAGGTTAGTGTGGCGGAAACGAAGATGTTTCGATAAATAAGCGGTCATATCCATATGGATAGAATAAAGAATGAAGATATGAGAGCTAAAGTCGGAGTGGCACCTATTGTAGAAAAGATGGGGGACACTCGTCTTAGGTGGTTTGGATATGAAGAGAGAAGACGAATAGAGCTTCCTGTGAGAAGGGTTGATCAAATGGTAAATATACATGTGGCTAGAGGAAGAGGTAGACCTAAGAAGACTTGGCACGAAGTGGTCAAGGGAGACCTTCACGTGAATGATTTGTTGCAGTACATGATAGGGTGCAATGGTGTCGTTTGATCCATGTAGCCAATCCCACCTAGTGGGATAAGGCATGTTGGTATTTTGAAATTCAGTTCCAACCATTATGTCTATGAACCGAAGGTTGTATTTTTACTTCTGTCCCATTATTTATGTGAACCAAATGTACCATTTATAATCTAGTTTCGTGCAATCCAGCTCCTGGACTCATATTGCCACCCCGAAAGAAACCTGATGTTGGAGCCAAAATCCCTCTTAAGTTTTGAATGAGGGAAGCTTAAGTTTTGAAAAATAACTACTAGATACTTTCATGTTTGTTAAGGAAATTACTCTCAAGCTTTAGTGCAAGTGTTGACTTCCTGTTGGTTGTAATATTATCTCACATTTTGAGCTTTGCTAATAAGTTTGTCCTTTTTTCTTGGTTCGTACAGTAAACCCTCACAACAGATGGTTCTTGATTATGACTATACCTTCACAACACCATATTGTGGAAGTGAAATGATTGAAACAAATTCTCAGGTATTTGCAGCTGTTTTATTGCATCACAATTAAGTAAATATAACTGATCAGTTCCCACATTATGATATATACAGTATTTATCTAAAAGGTTTAATGGCCAAGGCCAATGGCCTATATTTAAGGCTGTTATCAGAACTAATTCTCGGGATTAATTTTACCAGAGTTTAGCTTTTCTTTTTCTTCTAAATCTAAGTCAGTGAGGATATCTCTATTTTCACATTTTTAATTGGTAGATTGGTTTGTTGCTACGTTTTATTATCCCTGTCCTTGTTTATAAGTCTTTCTTTTTCTCCCTTGATTCACACTGCCTTTTTGTAGGGACTCCTAGTTGTATTTATACTTGCTGTTACTTTAAACAGAATGAAAGAGGAACACCAAAGGAAAACAGCTGCAGTCTCCAGTGGGTGAACTGCAAGGAGAAAATTGATTTAGTTACACTGGCATTAAAGGAGCCTATTCTATTTTATGATGAGGTAGCAAGCTAGCAATTTTGTCATCAGACGTTCATAGAGCATATTGTTATCATATTATTAGTGTCTTTGATAGCTTTTGAGCAGCATAAGTGATGTTTGCTCCGATGTTTCAACAGATCATCTTATATGAAGATGAATTGGCTGATAATGGAATATCCCTTTTGACGGTTAAAGTGGTAAACATTGACTTTGCTTTTCTACCTAGTATAACTGCAAGTGCCTTCAGTGTTGCTCATGGACTGATCTGTTATTTTTGTGATTGTCTAGAGAGTTATGCCTACTGGTTGGTTCCTTCTGCTGCGTTTTTGGGTTAGTTTGCCATTCTGAGCAATCCAGTTACACCTAAAAATGGATTCTTTGAAAATTCTGCCTTATTCCAGTGTCAAGTCCAGATTAATTGACTAGTTAGGAATCTAACAGCTTAGGGTTGATGGGGTGCTGATGCGGCTGAGGGATACTCGTTTGCACTGCACCTTTGTGGCGCCTGGGAAATCAGTTATTCTTCGAGAAAGCTGCTGGAGAGAAACCTCATTTGAATCCTTAGCTTCTGTAAGTTATATCTCTTCATTGCGTCACATCAACAATTTCCGTTGTACTGGGACTACTGTCAAGTGTGCTGTTTTCTTTTCATTCACAAGAATCTTCTTGAGACATTCTGTCAAAAATGTATTGCTGAAATTTGTATAATAGGTTGTGGATTAATGATCTTTGTTTTACTTTTAGTTTTGGTTTTAAACTTCTATCTGCAAGCTTGTTGTAGTTTATAGATGGTTAGGTGCTTGTTCTGTCAGAAGTGTGACATTTGCTTGTAACATATTTATCCTTTTTAAAATAATTAATTAATTATGCAGAAAGGTTTGCCAACTGATTCTTCTGCCTATAGTGATCCGAGCATAAGCAGTGAAAGGCTTCCGGTCATACTGCAGAGAACCCAAAAGCTCAATATTTCAGATTCCATGTAAGCAATATGTTAGATTCCATGTAAGTGATATGTGCTCTACTGCTCTAGGCAATGCTACGGTGAATATTTTTTATGGAATTTATCGGGTGATAATTTTTTGTTCGCATTAGTGTTTATTAAGCTCTACCCATAATGTAATATTGCATTTTTACTTTTTTTACTCTTAATGTTTATGTCTGTTTATATTTTTGTCGATTTGCATTTTGTTTGGACATAAGTAGTGTTGAACATTGAAATATGTAGCTCCCTGAAGAGGTGCACTTATCTAGTTATCTTTTAAGATTTGAAAAATATATTGTTTGATGCTCGTAAAGATTCCTAAATTACTGTTGTGATCATGAAAAATGAGAACAGAATAAGTTAAGAGAGCTTCTGTCCAGTGTTTGTGGAAGAATCAGATGCTTGACAGCCTGTTCAGGTAGTTATCCGTCTCAGGAACATGTTGAAAATAGACACTTTATTTAGGATTTACTAGTACAAGATTGATTCCAAAATATTGCTCCAAAAGGCAGCCACCTGGGCAGAAATGCAAAGTCCGAATTCAGCCTTTTTGGAGCCTCAGGTCAACTAAGACCCGCCTAAGTTTCTTGATGGCGCCTGCTTGGTATGTGCTTTCTAGGTCACTACCTAGCTTTTTCGTTGGTAACTTCTTTTTTTTACTCCTTCCATCTCAAGAAAATGTTCTATCGAATTTTTTGGTCAAAATTTATAAACTTCGACTTCAAAATTTGATATATATATATATATATATATATATATATATATATATATATATATATAATCTATATATGTATGTATGTATCATGTATGTATGTATGTGTATGTATACTCAACTTTCAACGTTTTCACTACATTAGCACATACTTACAAAGATTACACATAAATACACATTCCTCAAACTGTTTAACTAAAATGTCATCGGACCTATTGTCTAGGTTTATATGATTTTCATAAATGTACTAATAAAAATTCTTGACCAACCCAAATTACACAATGATGCCAGAAAGGAAAAGTGCAGTTAATGTCCTAAAATCCCCAGCTGGCCTTTCCGACAACAGCTTCTTCACCTGAATCAGGTATAGAGCTTTGAATATGGCTTTTTTGTTCTCTTCAACCTTTTTAAACTAAAACGTTGATTTTCTTATCTGGCCTCCACCATTCTGAAACTTGAATATGCGACCAAATGACATTTTAGTTACCAGAGCAATGTGCATTTATTTCTAATTTCGAAAGTATAGATCAGAGTAGGAGAAAACATTGAATGTAGTCTGCATTTTCGGTAATTAAGCTTATAAATCATGCATTAGAAGGGCAGGGCAGTGAGGTGCTGGTCTGCTAGTCTTGGCACCAAACTATTTCTGCATTCTGCAACCATGAGATAATAATTTGAACATTTAAAGTTGTCCTTGGTATTCCAAGACTTGCTCTCTAAGGGCGTACTTGTCTTGGATCATCTATGAAAGGAAGGGGAAATACAGGAATTGCTCAGCTCTCGTTTGGTTTAGAAATGTTTGGACGGAAGGAGCTAAAGTTATCTCTTCCTTTTTTCCCCTCTCCAAATGGGATATCTGGACGGGGAGCAAAAACACTCTAAAAAAAAGGTCCCAGCGTTCATTTTTAGTTCGTCTTTGAATAATAATTAAGGTTAATGTTTCATTTTAAGAGAAAAGTTGTGTTCTATATCATCTCTCTTCTCTACATAAGTTTATGCCAATTAATTTGCACATTGTTTCTTGATATCCGGATCCTTTTTATAGGATGGAGGGAATACTAAAAATATCTTCCTTCCCCCCTCACCTCCCCTCTCCAACCAAACATAGTAACACGAAAACACTTCCTCCTCCTCGACCCCTTTATTCCCTTGAACCAAATAGACCGTAAAGCAAACCCTAAAGCTTTTAAAAAGTAAGTTCTCATCAATGGCATACTAGGTCAGATTCAACCAAAATGAGATGTACAAACAAAGTATTTACAGTTTCAGATTCAGGTCAAGCTTATTTGGATTATTCAAGGACTGCTCTTCAGGATGTTGAGGATTGAACCTAAAACTTCCTGACCATATTGAGTCTGCTGCTTTGTCCATCAGACCAGACAACCTGGTATTACTAGGAAGCCTCCCAAACCTTGCCACAGCTGTACCTCCAATCTTGCCCTGCTTATGCACAACTCCATGAGGGGTAACCCCCATAGATCTTATAAACACATAACTGTTATGGAACGGCATGTCCAGCGAGTTGAACTTTTTTGCCGCGCCTCTTTCCCTCTTGTGAGCATTCTGGTGGCCACCCAATGCCTGAGAGCTGTAAAACCTTCGCGTACAGAAATTGCACGAAAACAGCTTTGGAAAGGCTGAGTTTGAAGGTATGTTTTCTCCTCCCTTGCTTAAACTCAACCCCTCCCCTGCACCTCGTATCGCTGTCTCATGATCTCTATCCTCGCTTCTCATTTTCAGTAGGTGGAGAAGATGTGTTTGAGATCAGGCAGCAAAAGTATGATAATGAGATGCAGGGTGAGGAAATGGTTTGTGAGGTTGCATGAATATATATATACATCATTGCCTCTCATTGGTGCGTGCTTCTTTGTGTTCCTAGGGACAATGCTTTATGTCATTTTTCATCCTATAGCCCATAGGTAGCCTACCTCTATCATAATATAGTGGGAGGAAAGAATAGACAATGGTTGCCTGGAAAAATAGAGTAAATTTCATAAATAATCCCTAATAATAGGTGATTTTTCTTATTTTGTCCCTAATTATAAGATATTATATAAATAGTCCTCAATTTTTGAAAAATATTCCATAATTGGTACTTTAGTGACTACATGTGGAACTTATTTCTAATATTTGGCCTAACAAACTATTTATGGAATACTTTTCAAAAATTAAGGAATGCTTATGTGATATCTTAGAATTGAGAGCTATATATAGAAAATCACATGTAACTAGGATACATTTATAGAATTTACTCCAAAATACATATACCTATATTTCTATCTCTACTTTAACCATACAGTGCGACCGTTTAATTTATAATGTTGGACCGCCTATAGTTTTTAAAACTAGACCGGTTATCAAACTGCTTGTTTGAATTAGTCGAACCAACCGTTCTAATTAACTGAAAGATGTGATTGGTATAGAATTTATGCAATGCTATACTCCCTTGGCCCATGGAATTCTCGATACACAAATTACGATGTCTGACTGCTATTATTATAAATTTATTTTATTTAAATATTGATGTAAAATTTAGAAAATATAAATTTGCATATTTAAAAACAAGATAAAAAGATCTACAAAATAAAAAAATGACATGATTTTATTAAATGATAGATGTAAGATATACAGTATAAAGAAAGAAAATTTAGTTTGACTTTGTGAATAATAGCGATAAAAGATCTGGTGGGACATGGATTTCGAGTTCAAATTAGTGGTTCCTTTTAAGGTTTAAAAGCTCGTGACAGATAGGACAAACGCAAGAAGTAGGAAACACTATACGTTCATATCTTCTCGTACGAAAGGTTTCCCTAAAGGCATATTCTTTGAGTGAAATACTCCCCCCGTCCTAAAATAAATTTCTCTGTTATTTTTACGGCTTCTCGATAGTTTTTTTAATGTATGTTTTCATTAATTATTTTATTAAATAAAATATTGTCACATCTTGTTTTCTACAGTAGAATTTTGATGTACTTTTAAATGTATAATTTGTACTCTCTCTCCGCCCTAAAAAGAGTTGCCTATTGTTGTTTACAAGGTTTGACTGAAGTTATTTTCAATTTAATTTATTTGAAAATTGGTAAGGAATTGAAAAATAAAAGTAATATTTCAAAAACTACATCAAAAGTCTTACAAAAGAAGATGGGACAAGGCTATAGTATTTTCTCAAATGGGTCGCGAAAATTGGTCAAGAATGTGATTAAAGTTTGACCATACAAATAGTAAGCAGACAACTTAAATTGGGACGGAAGGAGTAGTTTTTATTTCTATACTAATTTGTAATTAAAGTGATTTTAAAAAGTGACAAGATTTTGCATATTGTTGTTGGAAGTGTGTCATTTTCATTGTGGGAGGGGGATTAGTTTCGTTGGGTGCACCATATAGTTCACGACAATAAAGTTGGATATGTATTGCTTTTCCTTTGTACTATGATGACATATTTGTGTAGTGGTTAATATAAACCATAAACAATGAAGGATGATGGCCCGTGGGAACCCACCAAGAACTAAAGATTTGTTTCCTTTTTCAAAGAATGTGGAAGTGTGAACCATAAGCAAGCATCAATGTTTTAAACGTAGTTTCAACTAAGTGGTAGGGTCCGGAGCGTTGGCAATGACAATGGTGATGTATTTAGGAAGAAGTACCTAACTAGGACTAAAAGATACTCTCTCCGTTCTAATATGTTCTTCACGTTTCTGTCTACGAGATTTGATTGACTTTATTTGTAATTCAATTTATTTGATTGTAGGTGTAAAATTATAAAATAAAATTTATATACTTACAAATTACATCAAAAGTTTTATAAAATAAGAGGTGACAAGACCATATTATATTATCAAATAACTACTGAAAATAGGTAAAGAAAGTAATTAAAATTTGATCGTGTGAATAGTAGCTTAGAAAAATATTTTAGGACGGAAAGAGTATTTCATATATATCAAAATAAGATCTTCAATGTTTTTTATACCAAATAAGACTAATATTGCCAAGTAATGCCAATATATAATACCAAAAAATGCGGTGAAAATATTATGGTATTTTACAGTGCGAACACTTCTAGAAATAAATACATTGGATGTTTTATTTTGGCATAAGTTTTTTTAGGTTTATTTAAGTAATAAAAAGAATACTTTATGATTGTATAATTATCACTAGTGCTTTTAGAGATTTAATACTTGGGTTAAATATATTTTTGGTCTTACAATTAAAGGAAGGAGCACATCAAGCGGCTCCTCCACATCATCCAAATCAAGCATAGCAAAATTATTAGCAGAGATTATGGGCGAGGGTAACTGTTGGTGAGGTGTTTAGCTTTTGTGAGGAATTGAGTTTCTAGGATAGGGTGGGGTTTTGGGAGGATGGGCTTTGACGCTTTGTGGCGAGGGTTGGTTTTTGGGAGACGATGGGTCTTTAAGAGAAGGTGGGGTTTTGGGTGGAGGAAGTTGTTTAGACGAAGGGGAGTTTTTTGGGAGAGAGTATGAAATATCCTGATTAGAATTGGACAAATATGTAATCAGATTTCGACTTTGAAAACTCACACACACACACACACACAGAAGTAGATAATGTGGGTGTTACAACACATACGGGATAAAATGTTGTGGATATAAAAACTGTAAAGAACAACACGAGCATGTTTACGCAGTTCAGAGAAATTTTCCTACTTTACGAGGCCTATGTCCGTGTAATATCCCTCCACTAAATCACTACATGCAGATTACAACGGTACATAACAACACGATGAGATACACCTCTTCGAAATTTCAAATTGTTATGACAAAATCTCTAAGATAGGATTTCTAACTTGTACCCAGTACATATCCACCTCGGCTAGAACATCTTGACCAAGATCTCAAGGAAAAATATGTTGGTATCCCTCTCCTTCAATTCAAGTTCATCTTCTAGATGTTACGATCTCTTTGGCGTTGAAGATCTCTTTCTTCATGTAAATCGCAACTTCTTCACACAAGGATGGCTACGGGACGCGACGCTCTTAGATATTCATGTATTCTGCATTTTTTCCCTCACAATTAATCTCGATCCACAAGTCAGATAAAGCTCACTAAATACTAGCTAGGTATTTAATAAATAAATACAATTAAATATTTATAATTCCAAAAGGTCTCTAACATGTAAAATTGAAAAACGAAGACTCTAATTCCTGAACAGACCTTGCTGATCCCATTATAATATGTTGCATCATCTTTTCTGTCACCCTTAAAAAGTTGCAGCTTCATCTGATTTTTTGAAAATCTGATTTGATCTTATTGCAGTTATAATTAAAATTGTTTATGATCTGATTTGGTCTGATCGGATCTGATCTGATTATAATAAGAATAAGTAATAAGTAGAAAAATAAGTTGAACGGAACACTGCCTAAATAATATAAACCTCTCCTAACAAATAGATATTTCTATTTGAGTGAAACTCCTAATAAATATGATATTTTTATTTTACCAGAATATTAGCCAACAACTTGGAACAATCAATCTTCTCTTTTCACAAGTCTTTGGAAAAATGCATCGTGCAACATGCACATCAAAGGTTCAAGCATCTCCCAAGAACAATCTTTTCTCCCCCTTTTTCATACAAATTACACCAAATTTATTTAAGATAAAAAAGAAAAGTAATACCAAGTTCTTTTAATAGGATACAATAATTACATGTACAAATAAAAAATTCTACCATTTAGATCCAATCACGTGTTTCCCATCTGAATTTTATGATGGAGTTTCATCTCTTTTTGTAATAACACCCCCTGATGTTATGCATCTTAACCACATCTTGCTTCAGAAAATGCGCTAAGTCTCTTTCAAATCACCATGATTGTTTGCAACAAACAATCCAAAGGTCAAACTAATAACTTAAGCTCAACCCATTTAATACCAATTAAATATCCCGATCTGATTAGAGTTGGACATATATAAAATCAGATTTGTACTTTGATAACTCACACATGCAAAAGCATATGACACATATGGTGTTAAAGCACCTATCGGGTTAAATATAATGCACATAAAAATCATAAAGAACATTACCAACACGTTAATGCAGTTTGGGGAAACTCTCCTACTCTAAGAGGCCTACGTCCGTGTAATAGTCCACCATTAAATCACTAGAAGCAGATTACTCTGATACATAACAACATGACGAGATACACTTCTCCGAATTGTTATGACAAAATCTCTAATCGAGGATTTCTAACTTGGACCCTATACAGATCTATTTCGACTATCACACCTCCACCGAGATCACAAAGACAAACGTGTTGGCAGCCCTCTCCTTCAGCTCTGGTTCATCTTTTGGATGTTATGATCTCTTTGGCGTTGAAGTTTTTCTTCTTCTTCATGTAGATTGTAACTTCTTCACACAAGAATAGGCTTGGGACGCAAAGGAAACGCTCTTAGATCATGTATTTTGCGTTTTTTCCCTCACAGTCGCTCCAAAAAATCCCATGGATCTGCTGCGTATATATAGGCCTCTTCAAACCCTAATTCTAGTATTAATAATTAATTAGAAGTTGTCTTGAATATAACATTCTTAATCTTGATTCACAAGTTAGATAAAACCCCCTAAATACTAGTTGGATATTTAATAAATAAATTTAGTAAGTATTTTTAATCCCAACATGTCTCTAATGTGTAAAATTGTAGATCAAAGACTCCAATTTCTGAACAGGCATTGCTGATCCCGTCATAGTGTGTTATAGCATCTTCTCTGTCATCTAGTAGCTCTGGGAGTTTAAATAAAATAAATATCTCCTAACAAAGAGAGATTTCTACCTAGTAAAGCTCTAGATAAATATGATTTTTTTATTTTTCCAAAATATTAGCCAATACCTTGGAACTAACAGAGAAGGTGAAGGGAAATTTTGTCACACAAAGATTAATGAGAAGAAGGATCATATAAAATGATGTTACACTACATATCTTAGCGTTTCGCCACCACTCACTCCAAATGAGAAGCCACTAAGCGCCGCAACAGTATTGACTACACTCACCATCTCACTCATTTAATACCTGTAATACTCCACTTCCACTGTAATGATTACATAATTTATAATATTCTTTAAATATTTACCTATTTTAATTAAATTAAATTATATCTTTTGTTTTTAAAATAAACAATTTAATTTTATGTTTTTTATTTTCTAATTTTTTTTGTTAATTTTTTTTCATCCAGGCCTTTTTCCTAGTTTGATTTTTTCCTTTTCCGTTCAAAACTTTCTCTATTTACTTTTTAAATTTAATATTGTTGCTTCATATGACACAACTTTAAAAGCTAAAAAGAAAATTATTTTTTGTACAAATTTCTTTCCTTTACTTTTTTTTATTATAGCAAAATGAAAAAAACATAAACTAGTTTAATTTGAAAGGAAAAACATTAAAGCAAAACATATTAAAATATGTTTCCCTTCTATAATAATAATAATAATAATAGTAATAATAATAATAAAACATAATTCTTTCAATTCGGCAGTGTTTGGAAAAAAATATAAGTGACATATAATGTTAAAATTATATCTGCAATATTGGTGTCGTTGAGTAAATCTTATGAAAATATATTTCCGACATCATATTATTTGTCAAGTAATGACTTACGTATCAAAAGTTATGAACAAAATAAATATTAGTCGTTATAACAAAAAAATTAAATGAAAGGAAAAAAACTTAAAAATATAAATATATAAAAGAGGTAACCTCTTCTGTGGCCATGGCCATGAGTTGCTTCACGCGGCAACCATGCGAATAAGTAATACATAGAGGGCATGGGCGGTGTTCACCTTGCACTCACGCCAGATGGCACTACCATTGGGGATCACGAGACTCAGGGCGTGGAGCACTACAACTAGTCTTAGGCACAACATCAGGCCGAGGGTTACGTTCTTAGGAACCTAAACAAATTTGGAGCCATCACGTATCCTACTCTTGATGTGTCTTCTCTATAGTGGGATTGGAATGACAGTTTGGGGAACTTCTAAAACATGCATCTTTCAAATCCTCCACCGTTCAAACTTAAGTTCCATACCAAGATCGGTGTCTCCAACAAGACTCCATTCTTGCAAGAGCATATAAAGGATAACAAAAAGTATTAGGCCCCGTTTGATACACGGAATTCAAACTATGGAATTGGAATTGCGGGCTTCAATTCCAATTCTGGTGTTTGGTAGCACAAAAAATGAAATTGAATTGGAATTGCCAGAATTCAATTCTATGGAATTGAATCCCATGGAATTTCAATTCCAATTCAATTCCAATTCCATCAATTCCGTATACCAAACGGACCCTTATCCTTACCATTTGAGTCATGTTTTACAAAGTTGGAAGTTTTGTTTTGAAGATTTGAGGTTGAATTTGATTACGCGTCGTCTATGTTTTCATCCTTTGGGAGGATTCATTATGTGTTCACTGCAGAATCTTTCATGCCCAATAGAATGAAACTGCAGATACTGAAGCAAAATAAATGACATGAACCCTTGAAAGTTATATATTCAGTGCTAATTGTAAAACCCAAATCAGAAACATTAATAGCACAATTCCAAAGCTCAAACTTCATAAGAAAAAGAATTGCTGGTCACTACTTTGAAACTTAACATATGGCTAGCGTACTATTATTATTTTATGCATCCAAAATCACATCTCAGAGAGGTTGCAGTAACCAGCTGCAAAGACAGCCCCCAAAAAGCTCTATCCCGTCAAATCCCAAAGAAACTAAGCTCAAGTGCCTGCAATGACACAATGCATATTGAATATGAGTTGAAGCACCCAAATAGAGGCAACTATGCACTTGAAACAGGGAGCAGCTTTATCTAGCATATGCCCAAACTCAGAAGACAGATTTAAAATAAATACTGCAGATGTAACTTCTGTTGTTTTGAAGGGATCGAGACGAATTTTCTTAACACTCAAGAGTGTTGAATCGTATGCCCAAAAGAGCAAACAATAAGATTGTACATCTAAAGTGTTACATGTTCAATAGCCAGATATAGTATACTCGGGTATTGAGAATAAATTCCACAAATAGTCCTCGAAATAATTAAGGATATTCCACATTTAGTGCACTATTTTATGAAAGAGTAAATTCCATAATTGGTCTTTTATAACAGGGGGTTTCCCTATTTAGTCCTCTATTATCAAATATTACCCTAGTGGTTCTTCTTTTATGGGTATCTTTCCACAAATAGTCCTTTTTTTGATCGTCAATCATGTTGGTATTAATTTGAGGGCTAAAAGTGTAATTCCACAATGATAATATATCTTTTTTGTCATACACAATTCCAAAGGCTGTTCCGTTTGTGTCGTTTGTGAATTACAATCGCTTTCTACTACAACCATAGTCTACAAATGTGGTCTTTCGTCGGAATCCTAGCCCACAATCATAGTTATTATTTTTGTGTTATCCGCTTAACCAATATCAGAACACGTCACCAGACATAATGTTGATGTTAAATTATACTTTTAGCCTTTAAATTAACACCAACAAGGCAGAAGATAAAAAAAGGACCATTTGTGGAATGGCACCCTTAAAAAAAGGACTACGAGAGTAATATTTGATAATAGAGGACTAAATATGGAAACTCCCCTGTTATAAAGGACCAACTATGGAATTTACTCTTTATGAAATTCTAATGAAGGTCCAGAATAATCATGAACACTTTTCAATGTTAGTCATATATGTCATTGAATACCAAGTAAGGTCCTTAAATTTTGGAAGATTGCTAATTTTAGCCGTTTGTTAGTGTATCATTTTGAGTACCTTTGATGAAAGATGACTAAAATTGGCAATGCTCACTGTTAAAATGGACATCCAATGAATTTTTATAGTGGACTAAATGTGGAAGATCTCCAAATATAAACGGCTATTTCAGAAATTACACAGGAAAAACACTATTTAAAGATGCAAAGTATTCAATTGATGTTCTGTTTGGAAACAGAAATGAGCTATCCAATACTCAGACAAGCTAGTCAAAACATTAATGTTCTCAACAGACCGGAAACAGATCCATGATTGGATATCCTGGGAATGGATATGGGTATATGACAATATGAGGTTGCTCATACAATTGCAATGTAATTGAAGTTTATAAACCCAATCTTTAAATTCATTAACATTGATTAGGCCAGCAAGAGAAAGAACAAGTGAAAGGAACAAAAGCAGAAACCTATAATGCAGCCTCAACGTCTCATGCTTTTGGATGTTTGCGAGAGTGCTTCTGTCATCACCCATCTTTTCCACTCCTCCCTATCAATCCCAATGATCCCAATTCTTTCTTATAAACCAAAAAAACACAAAAAACTAGCAAACATCCAACTACCCGACCCTTCCCCGAAGACAAAGATTGCATTTCTCCACTTGCACATTCTAATAATGTTATTCAGGTTTTCAATAAGTTAGCACTAGCCAATTCGTTTGTTTGTTTGTTTGTTCTTTTCTAAAGCAGCAAATTGACATAACCACAATTTTCTTTTACTATAATCCTACCCTAAATACGGAATCAGACTCACAAAGAAACCACTAGCGATCCTGACAAGTACGGCAAAAGGTACCATGAGACAGCTCGCAGCAAGCGCGCACGTCGACCTTCAAATGCGATGTCAACCGAGGTCCAGCCGTCGTGCTAAGCAGAGGCATCAGCGATTGTGCCGCCGCTAGGCCACCCAAAGTCCTGGTAATCAGAGGTAACAGAAATGCCATCAAATTCATAAAATCAAAGCATGTACGGAAAAGGAACGAATCGGATAATGCAAATTTTAATCTGCCTACTTCAATGGAAAGGATTGGTGGAATTAAAGACCTGGGATCCGTGAAGAAGAAGCTGCGGGATTGGGAGCGAGAGCCGGCGATTGGTGGTGGACGGATGCGAGAAAGGGGCGGAGAGGATCGAACGGTGGAGGACCGAACAGTGGAGATCAGCGTTCTGGAAATAGAGCCACGCCACGCCATAGCTGCTGCGGAATCAAGTGTAGATAGAAAGCTCGTGCCTATATGTGAAGGGGAGGGAAGAGGGTTTTAGCCTAATAGGTAGTGGTTTAGGGGTGCGATCTGGTGTAGCATGATAACCGGCCTGGGGCTAATATTAGAGGGTGATTTCCCAAATTTGGTGAAAGTACGTCCGACATAGCTGTGGGTTGTCTGACTCCATAACCGAGAGAGAATGGTTACCTATGTCAACCGTAGAGGCTCTACCGTTAACCTTCCGGTTATTTATAAATATTACATTTATTATATCCATTCCTTAGATATACGTAATGCGCTACTGCTGAAATTAAAAGTATACAAATAAAAGTTGTTGTACATATTTAAAAATCTCACATAGAAATTTATAATTTAACTAAGTACTACGACAATGCCTTCGTGATCGCATATCCATGTTATTTGTGAAACAGGTACTCACTAGACGATCGGCCTGCGACCGTTGCCCTGTAGTTGGTCGGACTAATTCGTAATCAAGAATAGGCCATTTAGTTTCATTTTGTAGTGGCATAACACTTCCAGAATATGCATCTAGGTAATTCTGAAGTGAGAACACTCGTGGAGTGAGATCATCAACTGTAATATTGCAACAACGACATAAGGCATCGACATGGACACATGGCATGTGCAATGTGGCCCATTCCCCGCAACCACATATTTTTTGGCCCAGTTACACAACAATCTCATCTAATCTACCGGTAGTTCCAGCGTTGCCCTCAACAACGACCCGTTAAATCCCTTGTTGCGGATGATGGGGGATAACATGGCAGTTGTGTTAGTTGAGATATCATAAAGTACATTAGCATCCAAATTAATAAGGAATAAAGAGTTTAGCATCCAAATTAATACAGTAATAAAGAGTTTAGCATCCAAATTAAAATAAATGTTTACGAATCAAAGTCATCCTCGTGAAACTGTCCTGGGATAATGTAGTGACTCCTCGTACCGCACCGCATGTCCCGTATATGTCTTTGTGGCCTACGTCGTGCCAATTCTACTCTCTGATCTTGAGGACCTTGTGTCTCGTTCTGTTGAGTCAATTGTGATATGAAGTCCCCGTATATGCCCCCTGTAGTGGAAGTTGTGTGCTAGGAAGTTGTGTCGTCATATAAGCGAGGGGGTACCATGTGAAGAGGATGCCCCGTCACCAAATGGTAGCTGCAGAGAAGATGGTGTAAAGAATTGTAACGACCCAAAACACACCCTAGAATTTTTAATGAATAATTATTCAACTAATCAAATTTGTTTTGATTAAAATAAATTATTATTGGGCTTTGGGCCGATATGAAATATTTTTTTATATCCAATATCAAAATCTGGATAAGTCTCTTAGAGATAAATCCAATATGAGGAATATTTTTGTGAACATGATTGGGAACCTGAGTACAGCTCCAAATAAAGAATAAATAAACAAGTTAATTATGATGTGAACTTTGTAATGATTTATTGAAATAAATCATAAGAATAATTGATATGAATTAAATAAGAGAACCTTTTATGAGAAAGGTCAATTAAACCAATTTTGACTGTGTCAAAGCCAAACACCCAAAAATATGGTGTCGGAAAAAGTATCACAAATAATTATGAAAAGTATATCGTTAAATAGAACTTGACTGTCTGATTGCAACGGTGCAAACGGATTTCAATTCGGAGAAAGTTGGACCAAAAAGTATATCCAGACTGGAACCAAAATTAGTCCCAATCAGGGAGTGGCGTACGAAATCAGAACATATCGCAGCCAATCTCACTACGCCGAACGAAGGATCACAAACAACAACCCACATTGTCGTCTTCTCTAGTTTCTTCACTATATAAAGCATCCCTCTTCTCCTTCATTTCTCCACCAATTCATGAAATTTTTCTTCCTAATATGTTCCTCTGAGTGTGGAGATTTCCATGATGCTGTCAATTTGGTGAGAAGTCGCCGAAGCAAGCCATGGTGTTAGCCGGAAGTTTTGTCGTTAAATCGCCGGAATCATCGTTTAACTTCGAAGTAAGCCCGTAGATATATCTAGTGACTAGAATGTTCGTATAGATCATTTCTATGTTCATAAATGGTCGTTTGGTTGAATTTTGTGTTTGACATGCTTGAAAAACTAAGAATCATAAACCTTGAATTTATTGTTAAAACTTTGAATTTATGGTATTTAAATGATCTATGAACATTGGAGAACATTTCTATATACTTTAATTGAAGTTTGGTGACTTAAAATGATGTTTCGAAAATTGGACTCGAGGTTGAAGACGAAGTACTGTTGCTGTAAGGCAGCAACGGTCGACCGTACCGTCACCACGGTCGACCGTTACCGGACCAGTAGCTTCAATACAACGGAGGCAACGACGGTCGACCGTTGCCTGAAACGGTCGACCGTTCGAAGACAGTCAACTACGAAAAATGCTATTTTTGAGTTCTAAAATCCTATTTTTGATACCAATTAATTATGATCATTATAAAAATGATTTTTCACAATAAAAATGATGTTTTTAATAAATTAAAATCTTATGTGATGCATGACGGTAAGTTTGGGTGTTAACACTCGAATCTAGGCCGCTATTTGTTAATAAATGTTAGTATGACTATTATAATCAAACCTTGATAACATCCTGAATAAATGGTTATTATAATGAATAATGGAATATCATTGATAATAAATATTGATTATGATGATCAAATGGACGACCCGAGTAATTATGACTACATAACGATCATGATTTTCTTATGACAAATAAAAATATATGGAATTCAACGAAAGAACCGTCAAGATGAAATTATGAATAGATATACTTGTTTGACTATCTTGAACTAAATTATGATTATGAATTATTGAACCATAATTCAAAATGAATAAATTGATCAACAAGAAAATGATGTGTATTGTTAAGGATATCTAAAAGACTTTAAGATATATCTATTAGCTAATTGATGTTAAGACTATCTAGAAGACCTCTAGAATAGATCTTAGGATGAACTTATGAAAACATAAATAGTTGATGAATTAGATAAAAATGCATAAACGGGATTCATGGACCAAGCTAGAGGATTACTCGTTTGGGAATGCCCAATCCAATGTTGATCAATCACTACATTGTTGTTGCCTTAACTGACTACAGTTAAGTGTCCGAAATCGATTGCCTTAAACTAATGATAGTTTAAGGGTCTGATTGCCTTAACTGACTACAGTTAAGTGTCCGAATTCAATTGCCTTAAACTAATGATAGTTTAAGTGTCTGATTAATAATTGCCTTTTAAGAATGTGATTATGGAAATTATGATTTGGCCTTAGACTAAGAATAGCTAAGAGCATTATTATGATCTGGCCTTAGACTAAGAATAGCTAAGAGCGTTGTTATGATTTGGCCTTAGATTAAGAATAATTTAAGAGCACTATTGAAATAGTATCTGAATTGAATAAAATGTGTTGATATGAACTGAACAATACCAAATGAACAATAGTATCTGATTATGAATTTAGATTCAGTTTATATGGATGTTCGACGCATTAGATATGCTTACTCAGCTTTACCGCTGAGCGTGTAGTGTGTTTTATTTGCTACACGCAGGTACAACAGAAAGAACACTGTGATCCTGGCAGCAGATGGAGCGAGATTGTCGGGATGGATGTGACAAGTTTGAAATGATTTATGATATGTCAAAATTAAATTCGCTTCCGCAATATTGTTGAATACTCCGTACTGTATATGTTATGAAAAATTATTGGGATTAATAGAGTGTGTTTGAAAAGTTTTAAATTTTTACGATTACCAAGTTAAATACTTTAGTCCGAAAGGGATGCAGACCTGGACGGATTAGGGTGTTACAAGAATGATGGCCATGTCTCATCGCCATCGGCTCTATGCTGGTGGAGCTCAGAGATAGGATCGACCCTGCACCGATGCATCCCGATGTCTATCAGGACACCCATGCATCACCCCAGGCTCGTAGGCTGGAACTTGAACCGGATGAGATAGCATCTCTCCGTATCCAGCATCATGGATGGACTGCACTACCTGATCATGCACGCCACGCACAAGTGTGTAGAGGTCCTGACCTTCTTCAGGTTGATCTACACCTGTTCGTCGCGAAATGTCCAACAAACTGTAAAGTTGTACATATAAAGAATTAGTTTAAAATAAAAAACACTTTAATTTATATAATATAAAAATGTTACTAATAAAGGCTAGTGCATACCAGGCAATGAACGTCCGAATTGAGAGGGACGTATCCAGTGACAAAAACGTGGTCATGCGCTGGGTTGCCTATAATGCGTCTACCATATAGGTAGTACCAATATCGATATGCATCAGTGTATCCGTGATGATCAACGTCAATCTCCACAATACTTTGATGTCAGCCTTCCCACTCTTCTAGAAAATGAGTCGTCCTAGGAGCCACGGTCCCTGTGGTGGTCCTGACGGCGTGCAACTCACGAACATAATCCACACCTTGAGGGATATCCTGAAGTCCACCAAACTGGCGACTGAACCGATTCAGGTAATACATCTCTACCATATACGTGTATATCAATTGAACACATGCACACCATATTACGGGCCCCGTGATACAGTGAGGATGCAAATGTTCCGGACTGGGGTATGGCATCCAAATGAACTGCATAGAGAAGCAAATAAAACAAGTTATAACACTACTACAATTAATACAATAGAATGGGAATAATAGAATGGATTGACTATACCTCTCTCTTCTGTTGCGTCCCTATACGTACGAATGAAATGAGACGGTGAAACTGTCCAACGATGATAACACACCCACATGTGAAGAAAAATATTAAATATTAAGTACTAAATTACTCGAATAATGGTAAAAAAGAATTTATACATAAAATTACATGGCCCCATGTGGTGCATCTCTCCCATATTCGGGTGGAAGTACGCCATGTGGTTTACACATCGGGATGCGCTCTCCATGCCCAAATCTGTAATAAAATGAGAGGCCCGCCGATTTGTGTCGTCTCCGATAGAGCTGCACGACACAAATTACTGTATAGGCAAGCCAATGCCGCGGTGCCTATAGCGCGACTTCGCACATCTTGCGTCGTGCCAACGAGCAACTCCAAAAGGTCTAATAAGTTCACCATGTTACCCATCATGCTAGAGAACAGAGCACCACCCATAATCTTCAACATCAAGGCCCGAGCATGCTGCAAAAAATCGACCTCTGGGCTATGATCACAAACAGGAATGGGTACGATCGCATTCATTTTGATCTGTGTCTTGCTCAAGTCCTCTAAAGATGGCCTAAGCCCCATCATATTTGCACACAATTGCGCCCAATACTCTTTCGTGATCCACGCGAACCAACAATAGGGGTGCCATCTACGGGGAGACCAGGTAAGACCTCTACATCCTGTAATGTTATCCCAACCTCTCCAAATGAAAGATGAAAGGTGTGCGTCTTTGGCCTCCACCTCTCGACCTCTACACACTATCTTTGTATCTTGTGACTCACATCCTTGAATGACTCAACTTGTTGTATTAACTACACCCTTGAAATACCTCGCTTGATCAATCTTGAAAAGATTGAATTCCATTCTTTGAAAACCAAAGATGTTCATGATACCGATCTTTGAAAACTATACCCTGTGGAATACGTGGCTCGATCATAATAGTAAAACTACCCTGACTTGAAGTATTATGTTGAACCTCTCGTTGTGAACTACAAAACGATTGGTGCGATTACGCTATCTTTGAAAATTATTATCAATGATCTTATTGACCAAACAAACCCCGTTATGACCCTAACAAAATAATGTATGAGTAATAACCATAAAAAGTGACGTTAGAATGATCAAGCTGAATCATTCAAGCAAAAATCCCGAATTTACATGCGATGTTGGTGTAAGAACTCGTACGATTCCTTACTCTTTGAATTTGTGTATTGAAGCACATCCCGAAGATATTCTCTTCTTCCCTTGAAACAAAATCAATCATAGTGTTACAATCGAACCTGTCGCTATCATGAACATATATTTCTTTTTCAAATTGATGAAAGAAA